TTTCGGTTAGTGTACTTTTTGACGTATGAGTATACGTTGCTCAGGGTGCACCACGTGGAGGTAAGTCTATAACGCAACCCCCCCCCCCATACAACAAATAATGTCATTCATTTCGTTGCGGTACTCTTTTACAATACTTTTTGCTATTTCACCTGCCTATAATAAATTAAACTACCAATTCAATCAAATCATTAACAAATAAAGTGGAAACGATGTCTTATTTATAGTTATAATAAGACAAAAACTCTTCTATTGCATGATGTTGGGGCTATGCTTATTGGAAATAAGAAACTATCATTTTTCAAGTTGATATATTTTCATACATTTAATGCAATTATTAAAATGCCCCTATGACTAAATTAGGCTTCTTCCATTTTGAATACGCCAGAATTTCCATTAATAGGGAACTCTGTTCTAGATCCGAAACTTCGTTCTGGCTTCGAACAGTCAGGGTGCTTCAGATGAGATTCGACAAATGATGGAGGAGTACCAAGAAATGCACCAGGAATTGGAACATTTGAGAGAGGACCAAAAGGCTACGGAGGCGGAGGTGACGCGACTGAGAAAACAGGACAGTTTCCTCCGTAAAAATTCCTCCTATTTTCGAGAAAATGGTCGCCTATCAGATAGAGGTGACGGGGAGAGAGAAAATGCTTTGCGAATAAAAGACAGTCGTAGGGGTAGCGAGGCAACTAGAATAAAGGTCAGTTAATTACTTTTTTTTATTTCAACTATTTTCAATAAATTATAACTTTCGTTTGTCTAACAGAATAACGAATCATTAGAAGAAACTGCGGAGCTAATTGATCGCCTAAGATCTGAGAAACAACATTGGCAAGAATATGCCAATCGTCTTGTCCGTTCCATAGTAGAATGCGGCTTTTCACCCGAAGAACTTCTTGAAGCCAGTGACGAGGGAAGTCATTCAAGAGGATCTTCCGAAGACGCTGAACGCTGGCGAACATATGCCCTACGACTCTTGAATGAAGTTGTCAAGTCCGATCCCTCCAGGATGACCGATTTTGACCGACGACTCCTCGGATGGCACAGTGACGAGTTGACAACACTCTCAAGAGGAAATAGATCAGTTGTTGGGGAAAGTTTTGCCATTCAAACCACATCTTCTACATTATCTGAACGAGAAACAAGAGCCAATTTTGCCCAGACTCGGCGACGAAAGATCGATAAACTGAAGGACTTTTTCAAAGGTCGAAGAGGAAGTCAATTATAGTCACCCAAGATCTATTTTACGCTACCAAAATGTCTTTCATGAATGATCACTGATTATAGTATTCCTTTGGTTTTGAAATGCTTTGAAATTATGCTGGTTCAGCTTATCGCTATACAGATTTTACATAAATGTTATAAAATTTAAATTAACATGTTTAAAATTAAAAATTTTTTATTAAATCTAGGTTTAATGCCCTTTGAATGATTGAGATTGAACCAAAAATGATAATATTGTGATCATATTCAAACTTTTGAAAGATGTGAAGGTGAAAGAATGATATGATACAATATCCACTAAGAATTCAGATACTTTTTCTCTATCTATTACTTCATTTCCACCTATGACCCACGTTATACCCACTCATCGATTTCCATTGGCTAATGAAATGAAAGAAAGAGGTTACCAAGGACTAAGGAAAATCAGCACCTTGGACAGCGGTATCAAGTACCCCTTGAACGTCCTGTGCCTTCAGGGCCTCCGATAGGCAAAATGACCAACCAACTCTCCATCTAATCTTCCATATACTCGATCGTCAGGCCAACAGTAATTGGGACAAATTTCCTCGAACAGATTTAAAGTGGTTGCCATTTGAAATAATTAGCTGATTGCGTGTTTATGCAATCGTGCAGTTAGTGAACATAGATATGAGGGTGGATATTGTATAATAGGTAGTAACTGTTGCGTTAGATACAGCATCAGAGTAGGGTGGAGGGGGTGGCTAATTGACGTTGCCACGCCAACTATTACATAAGAAATGACTGTCACAGATACGTTCAACCTCTAGAAGTAAAACAATATTTATATTTTGCTTTGGTTCTCTTCTGTTGATGAAGGTCTCGTTTACGTTGCTTGTTGTAGTTAAGAATAATCGTCTGCATATTTGAAGTACTTTCGTCTCAGACTGAAATGATCTGCGTTTAATGACTCAGTTCATCTCTAAAAAACTACACACGACTCAAATATCTGACAGGTGACTTATAGTTGAAATGAATTTTTGCTTTCATTATGGAAATTAATTTAATTATATACATCAATAAATGTTGCAGGTAATCATGTCAGATGTGATCGTACTTATTAAAATGCGTGGGTGTGAACACAACAATTTCGTTTTTTTTTTCAAGATCGATTTAAATCTGTGCTTAAGTAAAAACACAAGAATTCTTCCTTATTTCTCAAAACAAAATTTTAATCTATAATAGGCTTAAATGAATTGAATAAGCGCAAATTTTCTTCGTATTAAGGAAATATTGCCAATCAGGTGCATTGATCGGGTAATATTTATGATGTTTCGTAGGTTTACATAATTCAAAATACACTTTTCTTTTAATATGATGTGGTTTAACGCGAGATAGTTTATATATGATTGTGAAAATGTGCACACACACGCATATAATATATATATATATATATAACAGGTTAGTAGATGAGAACAAACTTAAATGAAACTTTCAACACAACAGCTTCCAAGGAGAAGGTAAATTTGAAAATATTCATCCTAGAATGGCGGACATTGTTAAGACAATGAGAATTGTGCAATCGTTTTAGCTCTACCAAACACAATATCAAAATTTACAAGCTTTCCTTTAGCAAGTTATAAGTAAATGATGAATTAAAAAGAATTAAAGATGTGCCTCATCTGGCATGGACTGAGGGGGTGGGTACTCATGTCATGTGAAAACATTTTATTCAACATCATGGCATATCGTTACCACCCTCACATAAGGTGAAAATCAACCACTCTAAAAGTGTCATATATATACAAACTGGGTGGTTAAATTGGTGATTTAAAATTGAATAGCGATACCACACCGTTGACCACAAAATTTATTTATTTATTTCAAATGGCAGGCGTTTTGATAGTTATCATTAGCCCTGGAGCTGACTTCGAGCTTCACAGAGGGAAGGTTCATCAAAGTAGCAGAAAGTCGAGGAGTGGGGAACAGAAGAGCGATTCACAGATGTAAAAGAGGCAGACAGACACAAAGGTAGAGAAAAGGTAAGATGAGTACTATGAAGTGGTGGAGTAAGACATACAGTGGGGTCAAGGTATTTTGAAGTCAGAAGTCAACTGCCGAATAAAAGACTTTTTGCCGTATGAGTATACGTTGTCCAGGGTGCACCACGTGGAGGTAAGTTTATCGCGTACCCCAGTTAGTTAAATATAATCTGCATTAAAAGTCGACTGATAGGCCTGTTTTCAACTAATTCAAATAAATAAAGCCCATATTTCTTGCCTTTAAAAGCTTTTTACTTAAACCTGTTCAGTGATTCCTAAGCTAAGAATGATGATTTACCTATGAAATTTTTAGCTAATATTTGTGCAGTAGTCGTCACAACCTGAGACATTTGACTGCCTGCACTACCATCATATTCAACAACAGTGGCAACGGCAACAGCAACAGCAGCGGCAGGAGGAGGAGGAGGAGGAGGGAGATAATAGAGGCACATCCTTATTTTGGGGGATATTCTCATCATTTTTCATTCCCACTAAATATCACCGAGAGAGTGGGAAAATGCAGACAAGTAGTGACGTAAACCTATTCGACAAAAATTGTTGAAGATTACTTCAAAGATATATTTTAATTTTAATTCTACTAGATACAGTTTAGCACTAAAAAGCTCAGTTAAAATTCGGGTTAAAAATTCAACCTGAATCATAGGAGATGTGAGTTCATCCAATAATTAAACTTGGCAGAGGGAGATGAGAGAGAGAGCGCACGCGGAAGCCTTGTATTGTTCTTTGAATCGAATACTGATCGGTGACTTTTCACACCCCCTCCCCACCAATAACAAGTCTTTTTTTCAATTTTCGAAAGTGTAAGTTATGTTGAAGCTTAGGAGAAGTGCACAGGATGCCAGTTTCAATTTCTCCCTCTTCAAGGCGAAATGGAACACAGCCTAGATAGTCGATAGGTATGTGGTTCTACCAAACTGCAGCTGATTTAAAGAAGATTTTGACAGTACGTTAGACCCTAATGAAGTTCACGAAAAGTGTTCAAGAGAATGGCAATCAAGAAATAATCTCAACCATTCATTGGCCTTCATTTTTATTTCCGGTTTTTATTTATTTATTTATTTCAAATGGCAGGCTTTATGATATTTATCATTAGCCCTTAATCTTTGACTTCAGCTTCCCCCAAGAAGGGGGGGGGGGTACATTTAGAGCAATTAATTAATAGCAATTCATTAGCTGTCTTCTTGCTTCCCAGTATCTTTGGCTTTCCGTCCTTGTCTTTAGGGCTGGACACCGAATCAGGTGGGTCTTCTCCATTTCCTCCTGTTGGTTACATAGAGGGCATGTGGGTTGAGTGTATACTCCCAATCTGTGAAGATGTTTTGCCAGGAAATCGTGTCCGGTACGTAGTCTAAACTCAGCAACGGCTTCGATTCTTGGCCAGTCGGGTATGTCGGAAATTGCCACTGTCCACTGTTTCTCCTTTGTTCGAGCTTTGAGTTCGTTGAACCTTGAGGTCTGGAATTGTCTCCTGATTAAGGCCTTCATTGTGTGGAAAGACATGGGCCGGTCCATGCATTGCAAAATCGTTGTCCCCTTCTTAGCAAGTGTGTCAACTACATCAATGTCTGCTAATGGGTTCATATGGGGGAGAGAGGCTTTTTGGTTTGTCATCGATTTGTTATGCTTTCTTCAGTNGCCGAATAAAAGACTTTTTGCCGTATGAGTATACGTTGCCCAAGGTGCACCACGTGGAGGTAAGTCTATCGCACACTCCTGTTGACCACAAAATAATAAATAAGTGGCGGACGTTTAGAAGATTGCAATTTTCAAGCACTCTTAAGGAATACTTCACGCTTTGATAGATGAGGACTCTTCTCGTAGTAGTGGCAAATAGTGTTAAATTTAACAATCATATTATGGAATACCATGAAAATATGTGCACATTTTCTAATTCTACTGATTTCTCAATTGAAATTAGTTACGTCATTTGTATTGCTTATTGGGACTAATATTAAATGCTATGATGATTTAATTCTTCATTCGACTTGCTTCAAGTAAAATTGCATTAAAAGTACATTAAATTTCCAATGAAATTTTGAAGGTCAAATGGGAGTACTTTTTAATCAAGTCACCTGGCTATGTAGTAACAAGGATGATATTTTAGTTAGTTTTTGACAGGTAAATGTGAATAGCAAAGTGACACCTGAGATCATTACTTTGACAAGAAATTATTGATTGGCAATTGCCGGCAGAAAAAGAAAACGTGCACTTGGAAAAATTATGACGATTAAGGCTGAATTTCTCACAGGATGGCGTGTTGATGGCAGCGACATTCAACACGCCATCCGATACACCTGTCGACAGACTGAAACTTACTCTCTCTCTCTCCAATCTTTTCAAAATTTGGAAAGCTAAACTATTTTCCCCACAAGAAGGTACTTCCTTTTTGCGGTAGGGGATTATAATTCTACTGAATTTCCGCCTATAAATTGTTACATTTTGGCTTATGGCAATCGGGTAATTAAGGAGAGTACTTTGTACC